CTCTTTCTCTCTTTCTCTCTTTCTCTCTTTCTCTCTTTCTCTCTTTCTCTCTTTTTCTCTTTCTCTCTTTCTCTCTTTCTCTCTTTCTCTCTTTCTCTCTTTCTCTCTTCTCTCTTTCTCTCTTTCTCTCTGTCTCTCTGTCTCTCTGTCTCTCTCTCTCTCTTCTGTCTCTCTCTCTCTCTCTCTCTCTTCTGTCTCTCTTCTAGCATCGTGGGAAAGCCGACGCCGCCGTGCGACACGCCTCCCCCAGAGCCCGGATTGGGATGCCTAGGTTGGCAACGCGCCGCGTCTCGCGCCCTTCTCTCTCCGCCTATCGCCTTGGCTGCACATAGACGAGGTATGACGAGGTTACAGGGTTACAGCCTATATAAAAGCAAAGGGTAAGGGCATCTAAATGAAGATGCGCCTGCGAATAGAGAATTCCAGCAAGGAAATTTGAATGTTACGAAAGCCAGCCTTCGTAGAAGGCGCTAGCGGAGTTGTGTCTGGCGAACGAAGTGAGTAGTTAGGGGGTCTGGGGGGGTGGCCCGAGAAAGGGACACGTCAACTCAGCACATGCTGGGGGAGGAGGGTGCTCCGAGGGAAGGTTTTTTGAGGTTGTGTTGGAGGTGATTTTTGGGGGGTGGTGATGCAAGAAATGCCAAATGCATCATTTGCATCATCTGAATGGAAAGGTGTAGTTGGCACCTTGCAAGGTAGAGAGACCTAGGGTAGCTATAGTGCAGCTACCAGGTATAGTACTTCAAGTTCCCTTTCCGTCAACCGCTTGAGAACCTCTACACACGCACAGCAAGCCACAGCCTTGAAGTCTCATTCGTGCTTTGAACTTGTATAGGTGTGTAAGAGGTATAGCAACATACTACCTGAGAAGCTGCAAAACGAAAGCCAGCGCTTCCCTTTCTCGAGAACTGCGCGTCGAAGCATAGGATAGAAAGGTAGGTCTGTCCACCATCCCACTCCATTTTCTTTCATTTCTCTACGGCAGCTCCGCTTGGCATTTGCCAGGTGGAGGCGGCCGTGAGACCTCTTACACACCTACACAAGTTCAAAGCACGAATGAGACTTCAAAGCTGTGGATTGCTGTGTGTGTGTAGAGGCTATCGAGCGGTTGACGGAAAGGGAACTTGAAGTACTATACCTGGTAGCTGCCAGCAAGGTGCCAACTACACCTTTCTTTTCAAGGTGGCCTGAACACAGTGTTTCAGGGCAGTAAACCGTGGTCTCAGGCCACCTTGAATTTAGCTTGAAAACCACAGCTACATAGCTACCCTGGGTCTCTATACCTGGCAAGGTGCCAACTACACTGTTATTTTCAAGGTGGCCTGCACAGAGTGTTTTAGGGCAGCAAACCCTGGTCTCAGGCCACCTTGAATTTAGCTTCAAAACCACAGCTTTGAAGCCTCATGCGCGCCATACCTGGGAACAGAATTGTAGCTACAAGACCTTTATTTTCAAGGTGGCCTGAACAGAGTGTTTTAGGGCAGCAAACCGTGGTCTCAGGCCACCTTGAATTTAGCTTGAAAACCACAGCTACATAGCTACCCTGGGCGTCTATACCTGGCACCTTTATTTTCAATGTGGCCTGAACAGAGTGTTTTAGGTGAAGTCTCATTCGTGCTTTGAACTTGTATAGGTGTGTAAGAGGTATAGCAACATACTACCTGAGAAGCTGCAAAACGAAAGCCAGCGCTTCCCTTTCTCGAGAACTGCGCGTGGAAACATAGGATAGAAAGGTAGGTCTGCACCCTAGATCCACCATCCCACTCCATTTTCTCTCATTTCTTTACGGCAGCTCCGCTTGGCATTTGCCAGGTGGAGGTGGCCGTGAGACCTCTTACACACCTACACAAGTTCAAAGCACGAATGAGACTTCAAAACTGTGGATTGCTGTGTGTGTGTAGAGGCTTTCGAGCGGTTGACGGAAAGGGAACTTGAAGTACTATACCTGGTAGCTGCAAGCAAGGTGCCAACTACACCTTTCTTTTCAAGGTGGCCTGAACAGAGTGTTTCAGGGCAGTAAACCGTGGTCTCAGGCCACGTTGAATTTAGCTTGAAAACCACAGCTACATAGCTACCCTGGGACTCTATACCTGGCAAGGTGCCAACTACACCTTTATTTTCAAGGTGGCCTGCGCAGAGTGTTTTAGGGCAGCAAACCCTGGTCTCAGGCCACCTTGAATTTAGCTTCAAAACCACAGCTTTGAAGCCTCATGCGCGCCATACCTGGGAACAGAATTGTAGCTACAAGACCTTTATTTTCAAGGTGGCCTGAACAGAGTGTTTTAGGGCAGCAAACCGTGATCTCAGGCCACCTTGAATTTAGCTTGAAATCCACAGCTACATAGCTACCCTGGGCGTCTATACCTGGCAAGGTGCCAACTACACCTTAATTTTCAATGTGGCCTGAACAGAGTGTTTTAGGGCAGCAAACCCTATTTATACGGACCCAGGGTAGCTACAAGTAGCTACAGTTCTGGTATGGCGCGCATGAGGCTTCAAAGCTGTGGCCTGAGACCAGGGTTTGCTGCCCTAAAACACTCTGTTCAGGCC